GGCAGAACCGTGTCCAGGGCCAGGCAAAGCCACAGCCCAAGAAAGAGAAAGCACCTCATCCTTCAGGAAAATAATGTGCGTGTTAAAAATAGAACATTAACGATTTAAAACTATTTACACGACCAACAGTAATGGGTCCTAAGAAGCAACGCAGTCAAGTAAACGTGTGTGGGACCACACTACAGCCTGGTGGGTCTGAAGGGGGAACAGTCCCGCCGCCCCCAGGGCTCACGGGCGTCAGGGTCCCCAGGCACAGGGCAGCGGTGACCCAGGCGTGGGACAGCTGGAGGCGGCTGCAGGACGCTCAGCAGAGGTGGGACCTGGTCCGGCCTTGCTGTGGTTTGGGGCCCTGTGTTTCCCAAGGGCATGCCTGGCCTCAGCTGGGGGGCCACCACCTCCAGGGAAGGGGAGGGCCCTTTGCGTCCCAGAGCCGTGGACACTGCTGTCCAATCCCCTCAGGGCACCTGCAGCGACACGCTGCTCTGTCTCAGGGGACCAACTGCAAAATGCCTGACACCTGGACGTGTGGCTCCCCCCAACTTGCCAGAAGTCCCGAGTGACTCATGGAGGCCAAAGGAAGGGTCAGGTCTAGGCAGCAGTGACCAGTGGGGCGGGGAAGGCGTGGGGACAAGCCGTGGCTACCTTGCAGCCAGGAGGCCCCAGTCGCGGGGCCCAGACCGCCGGGGATGCAGCAAAGATGACAGGCTCCCTGGTGCCCTCGGCCACGGCCAGCAGAAGTGACTCAGGCTCAGTGAGCTGCCCCGTCGTGGCGGGGGTTGTCCTCACCGCAGGGCGCCTTTCCTCCTCTGCTCCAGCTCGGGCAGCCGCTCCTCCCGGCTCTGTGCATGCTGGGCCCCCACCCTGTGGGCCGCCTCGGTGGCCATGATGTCGATCTGTGCATAGCGGGAGGCGCCAGCCCCTGGAAGCAGCCCCGGGTGAGCTGGCCCAGCTGCCCACCCCCCTCCCCCCACCTCCAGGAAGCCCCGCACAGCCCATGCCTCCCGCAGAGGCCTCGGCCTGGAAGAGGTGATGGGATCCAGGACCTGAGCTTGGGGGCGTTGCTAAGCTGGGAGGAAGGTGGAGCCACACCCTCAGGACGAGGCTCAGCAAGAGCATGGCCTGGGGGGGACCTGGGAGGGGGAGGAAGCCCCCTCTACTGCGGCAGCCTGAGGTGCCCTGGGAGGGGAAGGCCCCCACGTGGGGACACACCTCGGATCCCTGCGCTGGCCCCCTGGAGCTCCAGGCCCATGTAGTGCAGCTGCGTTTTGGAGGAGGGGCTGACGGGGATGTTCACGTAGGGGGGCGCCTCACTGCACGGTCTCTCGAGCCCTGGGCCTCCTGCGGGGGCAACCACAGTGAGTCTCTGGGGGCAAAGAACTCTGCACCCACCCCATCTGGCACGCCTCCCACCCTGCGCCTGGCCAGGGCCTGGGAGCCCCCCGGGCCCCCAATTCCCCGGATCCCCTGGCCCAGCACCACCCATCCTGAGATCCGCCTGCCCCCCTCCCAGACCCAGCACCACCCTTTGCCACCCTTCACCAGTGAGCTTCTAGAAAGGGTGTGCTTCTCTCCGCGATGCCGTGGGCTGATCACTGCTGAGCCACCCCCATGGATGCCCCTGTGGCCTGCTGCGGTCAGGTGACCACACTGCCCTCTCTTCAGCCCCTGCCCCCTGCCCTCAACCCCCTTGGCTGTCCTCCTGGGTCACCGCCCACCCCCACCACGGCTCCAGGCTTCAGGGACCCTCTCTGGACCAGTGAGTCTCCACAGAAAACCCCTCCCCTTTGAGTGCAGGCCCACACTTCCATCCACAGTGACACCTCCTCCAAGCATCGGACACACACGTCCTCAAGGTGGGAAGGCAGCAGGCTTTTGCTGGACACAAGGGGACCACCTTCCGGGTTTGGGCAAACAGGGCGTGTTGATCCCAAGGAGCACAGCGGGGTTGGGGGGGGCCCTCTGGACACTCAGCTTCCGAGCCAGGCTTAGGGCTCTGGGTGCCTGGGTGCCCGGGGGCAGAGGCAGATCATGCCGCGGGGCACACTCTGACAGGCAGCTCAGAGAGCGTCCTGCGAGCTTCTCAAGCCAACGATGGGCTGTTTTCAATCCCCAGAGAATCTCAGCTGCAAGGTGAGGGGTTCTGTAGATCGGCTGCTTTTGTGGCCACAGAATGTATCACAGGGCAGGGAGCCGCCTCCCAGCGGACGGGCAGCCTTTGCAGGGCCCTCTCCCCTTCCAGGCACACCGTGTCCACAAGGGCTCTGCACACCCATCTGTACCCCAGCAGTGTGGGACTCTACCTCAACCGGCCTGGAGGGGGCCACTGCAGACCCTCTCCCACGTAACCCGAGGTGGCAGGCAGAGGCACCCACGGGAGACACCTAGACCAGTGAGGCCAGGGAAAATCAGGGCAGGCTGCCTGGAGAAGGAGGCATGTGCCAAGGGATAGAGGACAAAATGGAATGGCCATCTTAGAAGCCACCTCAAATCGCTTCCAGAACAGAGAAGAGGACGGATGAGCGCGGCCCTGGCCTCTCCTGCCTACCCAGGGCGCTGCCGCCATCACCGGGGCTTGGGCCACACCATCTGCGGCCCAGTTCATCTCTGTCCTTGCCAGGATCGGGCCTCATGTCCCCCAGCCCCTGGCCTCAGTGGAAAGGGTCTGTATCCTCCAGCAGGCTTCCCCTCCCCACCCATGTCAGGGTTAAAGATGTCCACAGGGCCCCACGGGGAGGCGAGTGGACAGCAGGATGACGTGTCCAGGACCATCTGGGAGTGGGTGTCAGGGGATAGCGTTGTCAGGGGTGGTCCTCAGGGCCCTATCCCGAGCCAGGAAACCCCAAAGCCAGCTGGTGTGGGCCTTTCCTGTGGACCCTGCTTGCCACCGGCCCTGCTTGCCCCCTCCTGCCCCCAAAGGTCCACTCCGGGTCAGCCTGCAGGGTCCGGCCCCAACAGGCGTCACGCATCTCTAAAGGATGGAGGATCTAAGCTCGTCAGGCCCCCCTGCCCAGAGGCTCCACCAAGAAGATAAGGCACAGAGCTGACCCTTGACCTCCAGCCACCCCCCCCACCCTGCCCAAGGCCAACCTTCCCCAAACTTCAGCTTCCCCCAACCCTCCAGGCCTTCCCCTGGTGACAGCCAGCTTGTGCCCAGCCTTCACCTTCTAACTGGGCCTTGGAGACCGCGAGTCTCCAGGGCAGCCTGACTCTACCCACTCCATCCACACACCCCTCAGGGCAAGCTAGCCGCACCCTGTCCTCAACTCCCTGCCCGGGCCCGCCCCACCCAGGCCAGGGCTCCTCGAGGCTGCACACTGTCACCCCCCACTGCTCGTGTCAGCCTCTGTCCATGGCCTCCCACTGTCCACCAGCACCTGCCTCCCTGCCTGGTGCAGAGCTTCCGGCTGAGCCGGGAGGGAGCCACCGCGCCCCCACTTCCCTTGTCCCAGAGCTGGGGCCTACCTGAGTGCGTCACCAGCAGGCCAGGGGCTGAGGCAGCCGCTCCCTAGACCGAAGAGAACACGCGTCAATTGTCCATCCGGCTCCTGCTCCTCCCGCCCCAGCCTCACAACCAGGACGCTGACCCAGGTGTGACTGGGTCTCTGGGGGCCTGGCCACCCCCAGGCGACACCAGCCCAGACCCCTCATCTCCCAGGGGCCCCTTACCCACGTGTCCCAGGACCCCAGCTGGCCCACCAGCCCTGACCCCCACTCGCCCTCTTCTGGGGAGAGGCATGGGCAACTCTGGCCCCCAGGCCAAGTCTGGGCCTTCTTGTTGGGGCAGATACAATCCCACTGGCCCCCGGCCTCTATCTGCGGCTGCACGGCAGGGGACGTGGCCCCCAGGTGCGCAGAGGCTGGACCAGGTACCCCCCGGGCACCGCCGGCCCACTCCCAGCAGCACCCGTGGAGGGGCCCACAGAGGCCACGGGAACGAGCCGGGTCCCCCAAACTGCAGAACGACCTCACTGTGGTGCCTGATTGCAAGTGCAGAGGGCCTTGGTGGCCTCAGAGCTGAGGGCAGGGTCTGACCAGGAGGGAGGGACAGTGGCCCATGGCCGGCACATTCATTGCCACCTGGGCCTCGACCTCCCAAAGCCCTCGAGGGACAGGCCCCTGCCAGGGCCCAGGGCGAGTGATGGGAGAGGATCCAGCATCCCCAGCGGTCTGGGGATCACAGGCCAGGGGCAGGGCCTCAGGGGGAGCTGGAAACTGGAATGGGGGTGCAGAAACCCCAGCCCTGTTCCAAGGAACATAGCTGGATGCCACAGACTCAAGACAGAGCACCCTGACCCTGGTCCTACCTAGGCCAGGCTGAGCTGGTCTCACACGTCACCTTGTGTTAAGGAGCCCTTGTGCGGGCCTGGGACTTGGGCAGGGCGTGTCTGACCTCCGACCCTGCGACAGGAGGCCATCTGCCGGCCAGGAGCCATGCATCAATCGCTAACTGCCCACGCCGCCCCCCATACTGCACCTGCTTCCGGGGGCCAGTCTTGCAGGCATAGCATCAAACCCAGCGCTGAGCGCGGGTGGGATGCAGATCTGCCCTTTCCCCTTGAGGGGGCCAGGACCCCTGACCCCCAGGTCTGGGCCGGTGGGCTGCACACGCCCTGAAGAGACAAGGAGGAAGGACTCCTGGCACGGGTCTGCCCACTCTGGTTGCGCCCGGCCCCAGCAGGCAGGGCCTCTGAGCCCTGGACCCTATCCCCAGGGCCGCCCTGGGGTGCAGGGGCAGCTGAGGCACACACTCACTGTGGAGGGCCAGGCCCTCCTCCTCCGGAGCCACGCTATCCCACAAGATGCCTTGGCCACCAACAGCCCCCAGAGGGCCACAGTGGTCAGTGGCCACTCCCGTGGGCCCCTCCCTCCTCTGGTTGCAGACGCCTGCCCACCCCTCCCTTCTGGGGCTGGGGACCCGTGTGAGTGCAGCAGGACTGAGCCCAGACAATGAGGGGCCCCGGCAGGAGCAGACACCACCCCCACCCCCCGCCTTGCGGCGCTGCAGCTCACAGCCTTATTTCCTTTGCAGCCAGACTGGCCGGGGCACCTCGGGTCTAATGACGGCATCCCGTGAATAGACATCTACTGCCCATGTGCGTCTACCACCTCATTAGACCCTCTCCGCGTGTCTGGGGAGGTAAGGACTGTTGTCCCCATCTATGCAGGAAGAAACGGAGGCTCAGAGAGGTGTAGTAACTTGCCTGAGGCCACCCAGCTGGCGGGGCAGTTGCCGCTCAGCCCCCAAAGCCTGGCTTTCCTCACACTGCAGGAACCCCAACCAGAGCTCCCAACTCTGGGGGCGCAGAGCTGGCCCCCCAGCAGGGTGGTGAGCAAGGGTGAAAATGGGAGTGACAGGGCAGGCCGTGGGTCCCCGTGATGTGCAGGAGACGTGAGCTGGGGTCCCTGGAGCTCTGCCACCCAAAGGGGGGAGATGGGAGGGGGTGGGGGCTCCAGGCGCAGAGCAGGACTCTCCCTGGCGTCACCTGGACACGGGGAGCCACCTGCCTGAGCCCAAGCAACCACCGAGGACCTCCCCGTGGTCTCCAGTGAACAGGGGAACATGCCATACATGTGCACACACATCACTCAGACCACACACATGTGCACACATGTGCATTTGTACACATAGACACCACACCACACAAACGTATCCGTATACACAAATGCACACTCCTGGGCACGCACCACACACGCACACACGTGTGCACACACTCCACCTCGGACATGCACAAACACCATGCACACACACGCAAATGTACGCAGGATATGTACACACATTACACAGACTGCATGATGCACACACATGCAAACGAATGCATGCACATGCACACATCACATCATGCACATGCAAGTGCACATGCACACATCACGCAAACACATGCAAGTGCACATGCACACACACACATCACACACATGCAAGTGCGCATGCGCGCACACACGCACACATCACACACGCGCGTGCATGCGCACACATGCACACACACGCAGACCACACACATGCAAGTGCGCATGCACGCGCACATCGCAAACACGCACACATCACGCACACGCACACCACACACATGCGAGTGCGCATGCACGCACGCACACACCACACATGCGAGTGCATGCACACGCGCACGCACACGCGCACACACCACACACATGCAAGTGCGCATGCACGCACACACACATCACACACATGCAAGTGCGCATGCACGCACACACACATCACACACATGCAAGTGCGCATCCACGCACACACGCACACAGGCCCCATGGGCTGTCGGGAGCTGCCGCTCCTTTTTCAGGCCTCCAGTGCAGTGCGTTCGAGCTTAAGGCAGACCACACAGGCGAGGCCTCATGCTGGCCCCTGAGACCCACAGGCTTGGGGTCTGGGCCCCCAGATTTTGGAGACAAAGGCCCCACCAGGAGGGCCGGGGTGGGAGGTGGGGAGGCTGGTAAATGGAAAAGGACAAGACGATAAGAAAAGAACATTTTATTTCCAGTCTAAGAATGTATTACAAACAGTGTCAGATTTTAAAAATGTCAGAGAGCAACAAAGGTCTTTAGCCGACAGGAAAGGTACAGAGCAAAATCTTTACAGGTGAGCTGCTTGCCCCCTGGCTGGGGGCTGACTCCAGACAGCGCAGGACGGCGCCAGCCCGGGTCTGGAACCGCACGGGCACAGGCCCCGCCTCGCGGGTGCACGGAACTGCAGAACGAACGTACAAAACCAGGCACGGCAGCTGCCATGCAGGCAAGCAGACCGACCACGGAGGGCGCCGGAAGCAGCTTTACCCCTGGGCCGCCCACGTGCCCGCCAAATGCAAATGAACGGGCCCTCGGACCCCTGGCCTCCTCTGGTCCCGACCACTAGGCTCCAGCTCAGCCAGGAGGGTGGCAGGGGCGTGAGCTGCAGCCTCCGGAGCCTTCACAGGGGACTCCGGGCAAGCTGACCCTGCTGGGCTGGCCAATGCAAGGACATCACCGCCTTGCTCCCTGCACCGGGGGGTGGGGGGCTGCCACCGGGCCCTCCCTGCCCACCCCTCGGTCGGGAGCCTGCAGGTTCTGGAACAGCCCGGTGGGTGAGCCGTGGAGGTCCACGAGTCAGGAGACCCAGACCCCACAAGTCCCTGCACCTCCTGAGCCTCAGTTTCCTGCCCTGTAATACGGGCCCCCTGTGGCGCTGCTTCACAGAGGAGGCATGGAGCAGACAAGTAAAGTTTGTCCTGCACGCCCCATGCCATACGCCTGTCCCGGGAATCCGGGTCTGCAACTGCGGCAGAGGAAGCTGATTTTTAGCGGACGGCCTGACTGTGCACAAGGGAGGGGACAGGTCTGAGAGGTTAAGCACGGCGTCCACCAGGCAGAGGCAGTGGGACAGGAGGGGGGGGGGCGGCCAGCGAGGGGCCTCCCGGCCCTGCTCACCCCAAGCGCCTGGCACGAGCTGGCTAGGACACAGCGCCCGCCTGTGCCCCCAGCACCTGATCCTCGCTCGGGCTTTGGGACTCCACGGGCCCCCAGCCTGCCCCGCTCAGAGCTTCCCACTTTCCAGAACGCATTTCAGCAGCAGGCTGCTGGGCCTCTCCAAGTCCTGGGGGCCCTCCCTGCAGGCTCCGCTCCCCAGAGGGCAGGTTCTGGGGCTGTCACCCCTCCCTCCAGGCCCTCCCCACTGTGCCCACAGTCGCTGACTTCACCGACAGCACAAAGGGCGCCCCGCCCCCTCCTGCGTGGAGGGACAGAACCCAGCCCCCCACCCCTCCCCCGCGGCAGCGGGCCTGGGCTGAGGCTCTCAGGGAGGGGGGTTTACCTTGAGTCCTCCACAGAGCGGACAGGTGGAAAAGAAAGCTGGAGGAGGCCCAGCGTGGGGGCTGCCTGCTTCCCAGCCCTCGCCAGGGGCCTCGCAGCCCAGGGCCTCCATCGCCTGTCCCCGCCGCCTCGCGCCCAGCCAGCCGGAGGGACACCCCGCGGACATCTGGCCACCCAAGTCCCCGGCCCCACCGTCATCGGGGCCGCCCTGCATGGCCGGGATCTGGTCCCTGGGGGCCTGGCGCAGGCTGCGCGGCGTGTCATAATGGTGCCGCAGGGCCGTGGGCACTTGGTACTCGGCTGTCCCCGGTGGGCAGGCGCACAGGCCAGGCTCGGGCACCCCGGCCGCCGGCGGCAGGCTGAGCAGGGAGCCAAACTCGTCCGCTGCACGCCACACGTCCAGGCTGCTGCCGGCGCAGGAGGAGAAGCTGCCTGAGTAGGAGGAGTGGCTGCCCGTGGCAATGCCGCTGTCCGACGAGCCCTGGCGGCCGACCTCCTGCAGCTGCCGCGGCCGCAGCGGCTTGGGGGGCGGCCTCGAGGTGCCCGGCGCCGCCTCCCCGGAGGCCTGGACAGCCGCCAGCCCCGGGCCCTCCTGCGACGTGCCGGCCGAGGACGAGGGCGGCTCCGGCCACGCGGTGAGCCGGCTGCCGGCGCTGACGTCCGAGTGGCTGGCCTCCGAGGACGAGCTGGACAGGCTGCGGTCATCCCCTGAGGCAGAGGGCGCGGTGGTCGGGGGTGTGGACGCTGCACTGGGGGCTGGGGTGGGCTCACCGCTCTCTGGGCCCGCCCCGCCCCCTCCCCAGGCGCCCCCACTGCCTGGAGGCTGGTGCACGAGCCAGCTCACCCAGTCAGGCCCCTCGTCCGGATACGAGCCCTCCACCCCTCCGGCCCCCTCTGGAATCCGCGCCCTCCCTCCCACCCCCTCGGCCAGCCCCCTCCGGGAACCAGCTGTGAGCCCCCATAAGGTCGCGGCTCAATACAAATTGAGGCTCCCTGCTTCTAGGGGCAGGCCACAGTGCTCCCGGCGCCCCCCATGGGACTGGCGGCAGTCAGAGGATGGACAGGCCCCACAGGGCAGCTCCCCACCCCCACCCCCACCCCCAGGCAGGCCCCTTGCAGGGCCACAGCCCCTTCTGTCCGTTTTGCAGCGAATCGAGAGCGTGGGCTGCTGAGGAGGGGCCCTTTTGTCTGGGCACGAACAGTAAAGCTTGAGCACAAGAGGCCGCGGCCTTACCCAGGCCACGCGGCTGCCGGGCAGCAAGAATTCACACCGGCTCTCCCAGCTCTCTCGAAGCACTGTGCCTCCAGTCAGGGCCGAGGCCAGCGCACCGTGTTTGTGGCATCATGCGTGAGGGAGCAAATGAGTGAGCAGAGGACAGATGAATGAATGAATGAACAGAGAGAGAATGAATGCATGAATGAGCAGAGGGGGGAATGAATGAGTGAGCAGAGGGGGAATGAATAAATGAATGAGGGAGCTGAGGGGGAATGAACGCCGCCTACCTCCACTGCCGGGCCGGACCGCGTGGGTGAGGAGGCTGAGCCGCTTCTCCAGCTTCAGGGCTTCCAGGGCCTCCTGGGCCACCCGCTCCTCCATGGTGGCGGGTCCCCCGGGGCTCGGGTCTGCGGCAGAGAAGAGAATCAGCAGAGACGCAGCCTTGGTCCCCGCCCCGGACCCTCGGCCGCGGGGGGCCGGCCGCCCGGGACGTCCCGGTGAGTCCCACACCACCGGGGCCACATGCGTGCTGGGCGTGCCTCGAGGCCACAGCAGGGCCACGGGGGAACCCCGGGAGTCCCAGCTCCTCCCCACGCCTGCACCCCAGCCACGGAACACCAATCTCAGGGCGCCGGCCCCCTCCAAGGCCCCCGGCCACCAGCCCATGTCCTGTGCCCCAAAGCCGGCAGGCGAGGCCCAGGGTGGGGACGCGGGTGTGTCCTCCTGACCACTTCCCGTCCGGCAGCGACAGGGCAGAGAGACGCTGGTGCTGGACGGATTCCCTGAGCACCTTGTCCACATCTGCAAAGTGGGGGTGCGGGGACAGGGCACCCTGATCATGGCGGGACCAAGACGGAGTGCACAGGGTTGTGCTCGGGGCAGGGCGGGCCTCGGAACTCTCCCCTTTCCCCTCCCACTGTCTGCCTCTCTGGTCCTCAGTGTCCACGTGGGTCCGACTGAGCGGAGGGTGAACACAAGAGGACCCCAGAAAGGCTGCAGCATGAGGCTGCTGACCCAGGGGAGGCCACATCTCGGCAGACCCGATGAGCACAGGACCTAGACGCAACGCTAGCCAGGCCCGTCCACACCCCACAGTCTACACGGCACCTGTGGCTGCAAGGCAGGAGGGCGCCAGCAGAGGGCGCTACCACACCATCCCGCAGAGCCCAGACCGCAAAGGCTCTGGCCCCAGAAGCCACCTCCTCTGTCCCGAGCCCGTGCAGCGTGGGGCCTGTGTGGGGTGTGGAGTTGGGCCGAGGGACCGTGCTGGGAGAGGGGGGGACCTGGCGGGTCGCTCGCTTCTGTCGTCCCCAGGTGGCTCCGAATGACCCGCACTGGGGTGCGCATGCAAGGAGACCACGGACCACTTGCTGCCTGGCCACAGGCCTTTGTCTCTCCCACCTGGACAAGGTGACAAGCACTGCCTCGCTGGGCTGTGGCGGTACCAGCAATCCTGGGTACCACCCACCGGGGGGCCTCGGTCAACGGAAGTCACGGCGACGAGCACCAGCCTTCGTCCCTCCCGGGCCATCCGCCAGGGGAGGGCAGACCTTCCTCCAGTGGGAGGAAGGGGCCAGGGCCTCGGGGGTCCAGCCCTGCCCTCAGCCCCACGGTGCCTGCTCTGTCCCGGCCCAGGGCTCTTGGAGAATGCGCCCCAGCCACGACCAGGGAAGGGGGAGCAAGGTGAGGTGAGCTCAGTGCAGCCTCATGCCCACCCGCCGGTGAGACCCCACCCACCAGGCAAGCTCACAAGGCAACTTCCAGCCCAAACGCAAACGCAGCCCACGGTCCCAGCCACGTGGGGCCAGACCCCCACCCCAGTCTGGCTCAGAAGGTGTCCGCAAGACCCACACAGGGTCTCCGGCCTCTTGGTGCCCCACCTGGTGCCCCACAGCATATGGGTCCCAACCGGAGGCCCCACCCCCGAGCGTCGCCAGGGCTGCGACCCGTGGAGGGAGGCAGTGAGGGCGCGAGCTGTCCCCTCAGGAGCCGGGCAGCGCGACCCCTCCCTGCGGGCAGCCGGGCAGCGCAACCCCTCCCTGCGGGCAGCCTGCACGGATGGCAGCCCACCCAACCCTGCTGACCGATCCCCACCGGGCCACACTCCCACACACACCTGGGAGAACCGGCCGTAGCCCGAAGGGCCCCCTGGTTGGGGAGACGCCACGGACGATGCAGTCGAACAGGAAGCTGATCTGCTCTCCCTCGGCTGAGGACAGGAAGAAGACTCCGGCCCCTGCAGAGGGAGGACAGACCCTGGGGTCGGAAGCACGGGCAGGTCGGGACCACTGCAGGACGGGGCCTGGGGCCACCAGGATGCAGAACGCGGGAACCTGGAGCGAACCCATGAGACCACACACGCAGGGGCGGGGGGTGGCGGGGAGTGTCCCCTGAGTACCCGGATGGGCTTCTGCCTGGCCCTGGTAAGCCCTGCTCTGCCCTTCGGGCCCACACCCCTCGTCCGGGCAGCCGGGGTGCGGGCCTGGCCGTCCGGGGCCTGTGCGCACTAGCCCGGCCCAGGCAACTGTGCTGGACGTCCGGACAGCGCGGGGAGAGGGGGTCCCGCCCTGCTGGTCCTTGGTCTAACCCGTCGGCCTCCACTGGCCGGGACGGGGCTCCTGGGGGCGCCTCAGGAGGACGCGGCCGCAGGAGGAGGTTGGCGAGGCTGTCCCGGTTCTCTCGACGTCCAGGCTCATCGGAGGGGCAAGCGACAGGCCCGCCTAGAGCG